CTCTATCACTGAGCTTTGAAGGCATGGCAGAGGAAGATGATCATCATTCAGTGTTCTCTGATGACGAAAACACTCTAATGCCAAAATCCCGAACTGTACGATGTGAAAACATTTGCTTCCAGGCAAGATATAACAAACGAAACTCTGGTTCACAAGACTAATGCTCTATCACTGAGCTTTGAAGGCATGGCAGAGGAAGATGATCATCATTCAGTGTTCTCTGATGACGAAAACACTCTAATGCCAAAATCCCGAACTGTACGATGTGAAAACATTTGCTTCCAGGCAAGATATAACAAACGAAACTCTGGTTCACAAGACTAATGCTCTATCACTGAGCTTTGAAGGCATGGCAGAGGAAGATGATCATCATTCAGTGTTCTCTGATGACGAAAACACTCTAATGCCAAAATCCCGAACTGTACGATGTGAAAACATTTGCTTCCAGGCAAGATATAACAAACGAAACTCTGGTTCACAAGACTAATGCTCTATCACTGAGCTTTGAAGGCATGGCAGAGGAAGATGATCATCATTCAGTGTTCTCTGATGACGAAAACACTCTAATGCCAAAATCCCGAACTGTACGATGTGAAAACATTTGCTTCCAGGCAAGATATAACAAACGAAACTCTGGTTCACAAGACTAATGCTCTATCACTGAGCTTTGAAGGCATGGCAGAGGAAGATGATCATCATTCAGTGTTCTCTGATGACGAAAACACTCTAATGCCAAAATCCCGAACTGTACGATGTGAAAACATTTGCTTCCAGGCAAGATATAACAAACGAAACTCTGGTTCACAAGACTAATGCTCTATCACTGAGCTTTGAAGGCATGGCAGAGGAAGATGATCATCATTCAGTGTTCTCTGATGACGAAAACACTCTAATGCCAAAATCCCGAACTGTACGATGTGAAAACATTTGCTTCCAGGCAAGATATAACAAACGAAACTCTGGTTCACAAGACTAATGCTCTATCACTGAGCTTTGAAGGCATGGCAGAGGAAGATGATCATCATTCAGTGTTCTCTGATGACGAAAACACTCTAATGCCAAAATCCCGAACTGTACGATGTGAAAACATTTGCTTCCAGGCAAGATATAACAAACGAAACTCTGGTTCACAAGACTAATGCTCTATCACTGAGCTTTGAAGGCATGGCAGAGGAAGATGATCATCATTCAGTGTTCTCTGATGACGAAAACACTCTAATGCCAAAATCCCGAACTGTACGATGTGAAAACATTTGCTTCCAGGCAAGATATAACAAACGAAACTCTGGTTCACAAGACTAATGCTCTATCACTGAGCTTTGAAGGCATGGCAGAGGAAGATGATCATCATTCAGTGTTCTCTGATGACGAAAACACTCTAATGCCAAAATCCCGAACTGTACGATGTGAAAACATTTGCTTCCAGGCAAGATATAACAAACGAAACTCTGGTTCACAAGACTAATGCTCTATCACTGAGCTTTGAAGGCATGGCAGAGGAAGATGATCATCATTCAGTGTTCTCTGATGACGAAAACACTCTAATGCCAAAATCCCGAACTGTACGATGTGAAAACATTTGCTTCCAGGCAAGATATAACAAACGAAACTCTGGTTCACAAGACTAATGCTCTATCACTGAGCTTTGAAGGCATGGCAGAGGAAGATGATCATCATTCAGTGTTCTCTGATGACGAAAACACTCTAATGCCAAAATCCCGAACTGTACGATGTGAAAACATTTGCTTCCAGGCAAGATATAACAAACGAAACTCTGGTTCACAAGACTAATGCTCTATCACTGAGCTTTGAAGGCATGGCAGAGGAAGATGATCATCATTCAGTGTTCTCTGATGACGAAAACACTCTAATGCCAAAATCCCGAACTGTACGATGTGAAAACATTTGCTTCCAGGCAAGATATAACAAACGAAACTCTGGTTCACAAGACTAATGCTCTATCACTGAGCTTTGAAGGCATGGCAGAGGAAGATGATCATCATTCAGTGTTCTCTGATGACGAAAACACTCTAATGCCAAAATCCCGAACTGTACGATGTGAAAACATTTGCTTCCAGGCAAGATATAACAAACGAAACTCTGGTTCACAAGACTAATGCTCTATCACTGAGCTTTGAAGGCATGGCAGAGGAAGATGATCATCATTCAGTATTCTCTGATTTTGTAAACTGTCTCATCACAAAATTACGATCTAAAGAATGTGAAAACATTTGCCTTCAGGCAGGATTGAACTACCGACCTTTGGTTCACAAGACCAACGCTCTACCACTGAGCTTTAAAGCAAGCCAGAAAAGATGATTATCATTTAGTGTTCTCTGCTTTTGAAAACACACAAATGACAAATTCCGAAACTGTACGATGTGAAAACATTTGCCTCCAGGCAGGATTGCACTACCGACCTTTGGTTTACAAGACCAACGCTCTACCACTGAGCTATNTGTGAGAACAGTCTCATGACAAAATTTCGATCTGTAGGATGTGAAAAAGTTTGCCTCCAGGCAGGATTGAACTACCGACCTTTGGTTTACAAGACCAACGCTCTACCACTGAGCTATAAAGGCATGGCAAACAAAGATGATCATCATTTAGTGTTCTCTGATGACCAAAACACTCTAAAGCCAAAATCCCGAACTGTACGATGTGAAAACATTTGCCTTCAGGCAGGATATAACAAACGAAACTCTGGTTTACAAGACCAATGCTCTATCACTGAGCTATAAAGGCATGGCGAACACAGATGATCATCATTCAGTGTTCTCTGATTGTGAGAACAGTCTCATGACAAAATTTCGATCTGTAGGATGTAAAATCTTTTGCCTCCAGGCA